TGCGTGCGCGGTAGGGAGAGGCGCACGAGGGCGCAAGAGCGCACGAGGGCGCGCGGTAGGGAGAGGCGCACGAGGGCGCGAGGGCGCACGAGGGCGCGCGGTAGTAAGAGGCGCACGAGGGCGCGAGGGCGCACGAGGGCGCGCGGTAGTAAGAGGCGCACGAGGGCGCGAGGGCGCACGAGGGCGCACGGTAGGTAGGTAGGTAGGTAGCGGTGGGCCCTAAAACGGTCCTAGTGAAGGACCTGCTCTGATACCATGTCAGAATGAACGGACAGGAATGATTGAACTAACAGTGAAATCAGTACAAGTACCTAACCCTAGAATTGTGTACCCCCTATAGGCTAACCCACTGTAGCCTAAACAAACACAACATATATAATGTTTGACATGCGCGGCATGGTGACTCCGTTTGCGTACGGTGATGGATCGTCATCCATTCTTGCACGGACATTCAACAAGGTGCTTAGAAGGAGTGGTATGAAGCACAGGCCCTGCGCACAAGCGGTGATGAGTTATCGACAGCCATGGTTAGACTGTGCGACGATGCAGCGTCCAGGCCTGCGGGTTGCGCGGCATGGTGACTCTGTTTGCGTACGGTGATGGATCGTCATCCATTCTTGCACGGACATTCAACAAGGTGCTTAGAAGGAGTGGTATGAAGCACAGGCCCTGCGCACAAGCGGTGATGCGTTATCGACAGCCATGGTTAGACTGTGCGACGATGCAGCGTCCAGGCCTGCGGGTTGCGCGGCATGGTGACTCCGTTTGCGTACGGTGATGGATCGTCATCCATTCTTGTACGGCCATTCAACTGTTATGTGATGCTATCACTTGCATTCACGCCTGTCTGTCTCCCATTACATGTTCGTGCGTTGCATGCGTGGTGTGAGCGTGTGCAAGAATTTGTGTTCGATGTGGTTTGGTTTGGATTTTCTGAGTGTGTGTGAATGTTATTTGGCTTGAGCAGATACCTGAAGTGACTGCTCTGCTCAAGAGCTTTCTGACGAACCAAGAATCGCTTCAATCGGAGCACGAACGAGAAAGTTGCGAACATTTGAAGTTCGTATGCTTTTGATATTTGGTTGTGGTGACTATGGGAAGTTGTGGGGTTGACTCCATAAGGGGTACAGACTTTTGGGGGTTGGGAAATTCGTCCCCATCACTGTAGATGCTGCTATGTGGTTGAGAGAAACCAAATTGGGTTGGCAAGTGTGGCCAACTTGGGTGAGGTGGATTGTGGAGGTTGGGAAATGGATAAAGGTCAAAGTGGGGTTCCTATAGGGAAGGCATTTGGTGTGCTTATGGGGTTTCCTTGGTTGGGGACTCCTTGGGGACCTTCCCTCTCGTCCTCCTCTTCCCCTCTCACCTGGTTAATTGCTACTCTAACTTCCTTGTGCGGTAATTGTGGAAATTGCGAGACTCTTGTGATTGAGTTAAGTTCTTATGGTCGCATACCCCCCTGTGCGCCGAAATCGATAAGTCGAGATTTACTTCACCTCTTGATATGATTCAAATTGGGAATTGTAGCCACGAACTACGGCTACATGATATCTGAGTTTGGCGAAGTTTTGACCGTGAACTTTTCGTCGACGGCGTTTCTTGTGAACGCGACTATTCTGTCCAGAAATAGAGACCAACGATTTTGAGAAATTTGGGCACCTAATCTTCATAGACTCCGTCCTTAGTATCTAACATCAACAAGGTGCTTAGAAGGAGTGGTATGAAGCGCAGGCCCTACGCACAAGCGGTGATGCGTTATCGACAGCCATGGTTAGACTGTGCGACGATGCAGCGTTCAGGCCTGCGGGTTGCGCGACATGGTGAATCCGTTTGGGTATGGTGATGGATCTTCATCCATTCTTGCACGGACATTGAAACCGGCGTGTTATTGTACAACATTGTCATCCATTCTTGCATATTCATTCAGCACGGTGCGTAGAGGTACACTAAACCTCGAGAGAACAGACGCTCTAGGTCTTCGGTCCACGCAACAATCATACGTTAGGGCATGGAGTTTTTGGGTACTTCCCGTATCGTGCTCAAGTACGGGTTGTTCAAGAGCAGGCCTAAGGATATGAATGTTTACTAGTTATCACTGACTTCTGTGTCTTGTTAAAATGTAACTGTACATTTGCATTTCCTGGTTTGTTTGAAGCCTCTTGAACTCACCTACGTGATTGCACTTTCCCCCCTATATCGATTCGCGACACAACCACAGATCCAAACGGATCTCTTCCCACTCTTCCTCATCAACCTCGACTCTCACGCACGGTTCATAAAAGCAAGTTCTCGAATCAATAGGCACGTCCTTCTCACCGTGCTCGTGACGCACACGCACGACCAACGATCTTAAGATCCACTGCATTCTCCTCTGCTCACATCGTGGTCGCTCTTAACGGGGGCAACACGCCTTGTAGGGAAGACGGCCCGTGCTGTGGGCAGTCTGTATCATGTCTTGTCACGACCACGCGGCTCGACATCGTTAGCCAGTCATAAACATTAGCGCCAACGTCAAGGGCCAGTCGTGCAGTGATACAAGCTGCCGACCAAAGTGCGCGCTTTGGCGATGATCGTGTTGCTGTCACAGCCTTCTTTAAGGGTGTACTTAATGCCTTCACAAGGTTCATCACGGCTAGTAGCTTCATAGGCCATTTCTCAACTCTACAACGGATCCGTAACACATGGGCTCTTTGCCACGCGTCGTCTACGAGTTCTGCAACAGATGGTTCCCCAACGCCCAAGTTTATGGCGGTCATAAGTCACGGCGGACTCCTTGCCAAGGACTATCCGCCGTGGCAAGGCCCACGTGATCTGCACCGTCCGCCGGTCTACACGCTCTGCTATTCGTCCACGACATTCTGTCGGACGCTCCAGCCGCTCCCGCTTCACCTACAGCGTCTAACGCATCCAACGCCGTCAGTGTGAGCGGTCCTCCACGCGTGCCTGAAGCTCACTTTGACGAAACTCCCTCGGCTGTGAACGAGGGGCCTCCTGAAGATGAACATCAACCACAACCAGGAACTCCTGCGGCTGACGCGAGTGACCATCCTGAGAGCCGGCCCGAAGGGAGTCATGCCGCGCCGCCAACAATCATCTTCGGACATAGCAATGCCACGCCCCTCAATCCGCTCGCGTTGAAGCTGCTGCATTTCGTTCGGCGCGTGAATGGCGGAATGGGAATGGCCGAGGTTGACATCAACGGCTTGCTTCAGCTAGTAGTAGAGCCCGGCCTTGCGCCTCTTGTGACCTCGGAGCTCCGGAACTGTAAGGATCTGGAGCGGTTCGAGCTGGAGCGCTTGGCAGGGCTCAATCGCGGATGGTCGGTGGCGACCTTCGAGATTGCCGGTCATCCACCACAGCGCTTGCTCTTCCAAAACTCAGGCCAGGTAAGCCGACTTTGCATTCAATGCCGTAAAACGATGATGAGGCACACAGGGCTTGCATGTACGTAGTTATCCTTGTATTAACCGTACACCCACCTTCACCGCCACTAACCATGCCCCTCCTCTCACCTGCCTTCGCCACTGTACACCAGGCATTCGCTGAGATGTTTGGACATCCCAACAACGTGCCCGGCTTCAAGCTCAAGGCACGTGTTGATGAGGACCCTGACGGCCGTCGCTATACCACGCCTGAAACAGGAACGTGGTGGAATGATGCTCAGGGGAGGAAATGCCACGTTGCCACCCCAAACCCAATCCTTGCTCATGCCTTTATTGCTGCACTGATGTGTCAAGAGCATCTTGAGTGTTAGACCGTGTGTCCGTTGCCGCTTTGTCGTGCACTGCAGGAACACTTCGGTTGGTCCGAAGTTGTGGGGGGGATCATCTTATATTCGGATTGTTATAGTCTGCAGTCCACTTAGGGGTCGCGGATGCCCATGAAACCGCTCAAGTAGAAGCTGATGACTTCGAACCGCCTCTGTTCAAAACACTGTCATCGCCAGCTCCGATAACATACGAGGCTGAAACTTGGACAGCAGTTAGCCTTAGGTGTCTGCTTTCCAACGGTATATTATTTTCTACTATCAGAGGTGTACGCACTACACAGTGAACTAAAACGTAAGCTCGGCTGAAAATCGTGTATTCTCATTGATGCAAGGAAGAGGTGAGTACAACATTGCCTAGGGGACTCTTAAGGGGTTGGGATCATCCTGGGAACTCAGAGAAGGTTGAGTCCTAGGGGAGAAAGGCTAGAGAAGGATGGGAAACGTCCTAGCTAGGTCAGCAAAGCCAACCACACATGGATGTTCAGAGCTGTACTCAAGGCTACCAATAGTGAGTCAAGCCAACCATGAGTCAGCTTGTCTTCCCACTTGCACCCTCTTGCAAGCTGCTTCCAGGAAGACCACACTTCTCAAAAGGAGGGTGGTAGAGTCCCACTTGACCACCTGTACTTCTTGTCTCATTCTCTGTCCCTGCACCATTGGCATGACAACAATGAAAGGGTGGCAAGGGAAATGCTGCCAACAGTGCACCATGACTACGGAACAGTGAATTTCGGCAGCTGTCACGCAATGCTCCGATGTTGGATCGTTCTGAAACTTGATGACCACCTGCACAGCGGGGCAAAGGACTGCCAGACCAAATTTTGGACCAAACAGAGCTCGGTAGACGAGTCAGCAGCCGAAATGGTGAACTCGGGTGTTACCAAAAAAGAGTAACACACACTTCCGGGATGCCATAAGTCTTGAAACATAAAATTTTGTCATGCCTTGGCAAATGCTTCAAAAACTCTAAAACTTTGAGGTTTTGAAGAACACATGTTGAACAACCTCCCCACAAAATTCCAGAAGCTGAGCAGGCTTGTAGGCCGAATGGGAGTGCGATGACCGTGCCACCGTAATGTGTTGGCGCAACACGGATGTGACGCACATGAGCAACAACGGCCGGAAGAAGGCGTGGCCGCTCATGATGACGCTTGCCAACATCTCCCAGGCCAAGCGATGGGGGAAAGCCGGGCACACACTACTTGCCCTCCTTCCTATCCCCCCGTCTGCAATGTCTGCCGTGGAGAAGGTGATGCTCTTCCAGTGTTGCGTCATCACCGTGCTGCAGCCGCTTCTTGATGGCATCGCCAGGTCCATACTCGGTTTGCATCTTGCTATGTCATCATCTCACCACCTGCAGAGTATGCAAACTCTCAAATGTATGTAGCATGCCCCTTTGCCCCTCGTCGTTCCTCCCTAAAAGCCGTAACCCGAATTCCTGTTGCCACTCTACCTGTTCCTTGCAGCGGGTTCCGTCTCAGGGACCCTTTCGGTGATTGGCAAACCGTGCAGCCCCTGCTGTACGCCTGGGTGTGCGACTACCCCGAGAGCGGCAAGATCAGTTGCACACTCTCGCATGGATCGCGGATGCCGTGCAGCATCTGCTATGCTGCAAAGGTGAGGGTCACCTGATAGAACCCACATAGTTACCACCCTTACCTTTCGTCACATGCCATCTGTACGCATTCAAATACATTTTCGTTTGAGGGTCACCTGATAGAACCCACATAGTTACCACCCTTACCTTTCGTCACCATCCCTCACCCCCGTGCTACAACAAGAGCATCTGAGTGCTGTCAAGGCACGGAACACGCCGCGCACGCCTGAACAGCAGCAATGGATCGTTAACGAGGCGGCTGGGACGACAACTAGCCAGGACAACCCGTGCAAGGCCTACTCTACCTACCCTGTTGAGGTGAGTGACCTGTTTCCCCGGCCCCTGTGTAGTCTACACACTCGCCCACTCCGTCATGAATTGCCAGATGTGCTCTGCCCCATTGAACTCACCCCACTTGTGGTTTAGGTTAGCTATCCACTCTCACAAGTACATTTCTCCTTCATTCCAAACCACATCCCCATTTCCAGTGCGTGCTCTGGAAGTGGGATGTCTCAGGGGCCGCGTGGGGCAATCCTTACCTCGTGGTGATGCCTGACATCATGCACCAGGCGGACCTGGGCATCATGAGCCACATTGTGGCTGTCGTGCGCAAGATGAAGAAGCGGCGTGTGAAGCAGATGGACAGGTCAGTGTTTTGGGGATTGGATTCGTTCCTCTTGGTCACATTTACTCAAACCATAAGTAAAGTCCTATTACTCACATGTTTCTGCCCTTTTGCCACCGCTGAACTGATGTGTATGGGCAGGCGCCTGTCCCTCATTCGCGACCGCACGCGCCTGAATCACATGCGCCTGCCGGAGAGCGCCTACTTCGAGACCGGAGCATGTGTGGCGGCCTATGAGCACAAGGCCATCATGCAAGTATGAACCCTCCATTCCCTGTTGCTTGTCCTGGCCTAAACCCTCAAGCAGTCTGCTCATGCTGCCATTTTTTGTCCCTACTACTCACACTCATGCACGAACGGCATCCATCTGTGCTCACCCTCCCCTTTACTACTACCCACATTCTTTGCAGGTCATGGTGTTTGTTTTTGTCGGCCTGCTTCGCCAGCCCCAGATGGATGCCGTTCGTGCCTATCTTGGCTGGTACATCCTGTGCTCCCAGCCACAGGGGCACACTGAGCGGTCCCTCCGGGAGCTGAAGAAGATAACCTCTCGGTAATAATACCACGCCTGTAAACCTCTGTGCATGGGATGAATACTTGGCTACTGTAAATGTGCTCTTGTGAGGCAATCTTGTGAGGATGTTGCTGCTAAACTTTGATAGGAAAGAATCAGGAATATGAAAGCCATATGAATAAGTAGACTTTGTGATTGCATGTGTTGTCATCTCCCACTTCCATCAGGCTCGTTGAGCAGTTGCAGGCTCCCTTTCCAAAGCAGCCATCCTCTTGGTGTTTTGTGAAAACACATCTCATGTCGCAATACATCGACTCCATATGTCGCGCGGGTCATGTGACTGAATTCAGCACCAACATGTTCGAGCACTTGCACGGACCGTTGGTAAAGAGGATCTACCGGCGGTCCAACAAGCGCAATGTAGATGGGCAGATCATGAAGTTCCATGCTAGGTGCATTCCAAATGTGGTGCCGGTGGATGATCTTGCTGGCCGGGACACCGCCATGCGGCAGGTAAATCTGTTTAGTGCTTGAATTGCATGGATATGAATGCAGAATGTAAAATTTTCAATAGCATATGTTGGCAGGCAATTGAGACAGACACACGGACGCTTATCAAGGAGTCATACCTCCTCCCTGTGGAGTTACCACAAGAATCCACCTCCACCAACTGGTTTGCAAGGAAGTGGGCCAAGCAACACCCTCGTACCCAAGCTGCCCTCAAGGATGTGCTTATGCGTTATGCAGGATGCGTCACCAAGATTCGAGTAAGTAGTTGCAAGTTTATGCAATCAACCATCATTTGGCTGGCTCGTATCATACATGACTAACATCAATTGTTATGCAGGCCCATGCATCGCTGGCAATCCCTGCAGCAGACGACGCCAGCTTCTCAAGAGTTTCTCACTTCGTTCGAGCGACCCCTGACTATTTTGAGAGGCCATGGTACTCGGATGTTGCAGTGGAGGGTGTAAGGTATGGTCGGAGAGAGGAGAGGTATGCAAGTTTGCTACTGTTGTTCCATACAAAAATACGTGGAGAGAGGGAGGAGCTGGCTTACGTTAGATATTGGAATGCAAGCGGAGAGGATACAGCAACAGGATGCCTTCGCCTCAAGTGGACGACAGGAATGTACGCGTACTCCGTGATTCCGATTGAAGCGCTGCTCCGCCACGTCCATGAAGGCGTTCCATCTGGACAGTACCTATCTCCTTAATAAGTATCAAATGTGATGCATTTTTCTTGTAATAAAATGGCCAGCATATTTCCAAGCAGTCACATTTTAGGGAAGTCAAAGCTAAGAAAACACATTACAAATTCACAACCAATTTGGCACGCTCCAAATATACGACAATGTACCGGAGTCGCGGATCTGATTTTGACTTCGAAAAACAAACGCGGTCCGATTTCAATCCGTGATTGGTCGCAAGTTGGCTTCGGAACTTCGCCAACCAAAACACCTGAAATGTACACCCCTTCGAACCCCCTTCAAAAACCAAGGTTTTTTGTGATGTTATCCTGTCAGGCATGGCAGAGGTGTGAGTGCTGAGTGGGATAAAACGCTATACCGTTGACGACGAGGCTTGTTCCTGTTGCTGATGCAGCGACAGCAGGAACTTAAGGGTAGACACCAGGAGAAGAATCAACATTATTTTTTTGGATTGCCATGGCGTGGCAGATGGCTGGGTGGGTGGCACAGAGAAAGGCCAGATGCTAATGTAGAAAGGCCAGAGAAGGAGCAGCAAAAATGGGAATTGATGTTGCCAAGTTGCCAAGAGCAGGCAGAGCAACAGCAGAGCCGGCAGCAAAGCCGGCTGCCAAGCTTACCTTTCCAAAGCCGGAAGACTGGAGAAAAACGTCTGCTGGATGGCATCGATTGCGAGTAAGATCGGTGAATGGGCATAGTCTTCCACCACCAATCTTGCATGGTTTCGAGCAGCCTTGGGAGTTCTCCATAATGGATAAAATGAGCCACAAGCTGGTGTGAGAGCTCTTTTAATCACGCAGCCTGTTGTTTATACTAGAAAGGCAATCCAGAGTCTTAGTAGCAAGTATAGAAAGCTCTAGCCTTAACTGTGTGAAGGAATTCGCTGGAAAACATCAAGGCAAAAATTTGAAGTAATTTCATTGAACAAGCCATACAAAATAGCAAGTACAAAGACACGTTATACGCAAAATGATTTGTGATTTCGCCCTCGCGCCGCACCCAATTTTGAGCTAAGTTGTACTCGTCTCGATTTCCAAATCCAACCATGCACTGAACGCGCCTCGAGTTCAAATTCCAGACTTCCTTGGACGCGCCTTTGACCCGGCGTGACTTCAATTCACTCGCTTGACATCTCGACATTTCAGTCATGTTCTTCTCCATTTCAGCACACTTCCTCTTCTTCGCTTCTTTTCTCACCACAGGTTCCGCCGCTGCAGTGTTCTGTCTTTCACCCTCTCAACGTAGGTAGCTCATATTCTTCTGAGGTCCTTACATTCTCTTTGACACAGCTTCTCAAACCGGTTTCTTCTTAGGTCGATGTAGGTCGCTTTAGGTCGTGGTTAGCAAACCACCTTCAACAAGAGCACGGGTGAGGGTTGTGGGGGTTGTAAGAGGAGTGGGGGGTATGATTCGAGAAGGGGATGTGAGAAGAGTTGGGGTAATGAGAGGAGTGGGGGGCAATTGAGGAATGGAGGTTGCGTATGAGAGGATTGGGGTGAATGAGTGGAGGGGGTCAGTGAGGTTTGGGGAGAATAGGCGTGAGGGCATGAGTGGAGTGGGGACCCAAGAGGAGCGGTGGGTACGAGAGGGGTGGAGGTATGCGAGGAGTGGGGATATGAAAGAAGGGAGATTATGAGATAAGTGAGGGGAATGAGAGGATTTAGGTGTGTGAGAAGAATGCGGGGCACGGAAGGAGTGGAGGGTGTGAAAGAACTCGGGGGTACGAATGGTGGTACAGGATATGAGAGGAGAGGGATATGAGATTATTGGGGAAAGGGAAGAAAAGGGAGTTTGAGAGGAGTCATAAATATGGGATGAGTGGAGGGTTCGACATCCAAAGCTTAGGATGCGCAGGGGTAGTGCATTCCAGGTTGAATAGTGCAGACTCTCTCTTGAGAGTGTAGTGGTACCTTACAATGGTGATGTTTGGTGCTGCCACAGAAAAGGGATATTGATTCTACCTAGAAGTCCCACGTTGGCAATGATCCTATTCTATAATCTAGAGAATGTCATGCATATAACAAGTAGGAGATTTAGAAAAGTGTGACAAGCACAGAGTAGGTGCCCAAGCAGAATATAGTTGCTTCACAGCCCAATTTCCGTGTCCCACTTTCGTGTTCATCAGAAGATGCTACCAATTTCCCTTCCTAAACTATCAATGATCCTCATCACCCCATACATGTTTTAGTATGGAAAAAATAATCAATTGCAGACGCACAAGGTGAACCCGTGAGGTGCAGAAAAAGACAACATCTATTCAATAGGAGAGCCAGTTGGCTCGGCCTCTCGCTCCGCACGGGCCAATTCAGTAGTGAAGCCGGAGGAGCCAATGGAACACTCAATCTCCATGTCAATGCGAGATATTGCATCGCCCACATGTGCTCCGATCACTTCCTGCTTCAACTTCACTAGCTCTCCCAGCACTTGATTCATGGAGGGGCGGGAGGCTGCAGGCATGGCAGTGCATGAGAGGGCAAGGCGAGCCCAGCGCAGCACCAAGTCGTGTGGTGCGTCCAAGTGGGGGTCCTTAAACGCCAATACAGCACCAGAGTCCACCAACGGGGCCACCTGTGAGGTTGAATGGATATACCACAAGAAATTTGGTGATAAAAAATGTTCAGTGAGTCTTACATTGAGAGAAAACCTGTGAAGAATGGTAGAAATGTTGCAACACATAAAACGATGGAATGATGTATGATCATAAGAAATTAGTGCTACATAGAAAGCAGAATGATAGGAAGGTGAATCCTATCGCATATACAAGGTGAGGCAAATTCAAGTGCTCGCCTTTGTTAAACCTGGTCTCAAATCATTCCAGCATGTATTTTGTTGGGGATGGAGGAAAAGAGAACATGATTTGGTCTACATATGTTTGGCTAAGGGCATCAAGGAAACAATGAAAATCTGATACTGGCAAGCAAACTCACTTTGTAGTGCAGCTGGCTTTCTTGTGTTGCAAGATATGCCATCCATGGCATGAATACAGTTCACTGTGACTCACCAATTGTTTGAGATTGATCTGGTTGTCCTCTGTTACATGCACAGCCTTGCGTGCCGTGATAACCACCAGCATCACCACGCCAAAACTGCAACCCAGCAATAAACAAAGGCATCATACTTGAAATCATGCTCACATGTACAAAAGCTTTATGATCACGATGAAACTTGTTTCCCAATCATTCCACAAGCGATCGTCACCCAAGCCCCATCAACAAACATCACGAAACTACTTGATTGGTAGAAACGCCTTGAAATGGTTTCAAGTGTCAGGCATGGACTTTCTTTGAGTGTGAGGCAAAGGAAGCATAGAAATCACTGCAGGCCATACACAAAAAAACTACTTTCTTTCGAAGAAATGGAGACTCATGAACATTTATTATCAACTGTAGAAGCCTTCTTCAATAGTATTTTCATGCCAATGTGCTCATCTGCTGACCTTCACTGTTTTCTCATGCCATTATCCTAACTTGCGTGCATTTTGCTAGCCTGACTTACTATGCTCACCGGTGCCAATCTGCTCACCTGTGTACATCTGCTGCTGGAGTGGCTTTGTGAGAATTGAAATACGCAGGGTCCACATAGCCTGGTGTTCCCATCACTCGAGTGGCAGCCACAGACGTGCCCATAGCGGTGCCCCCACCAAGTTTCACAAGCCCAAAGTCTGCAACCTTGGCCTGCCCATAGCCCACAACAGCACTGATGTGCAAAATTAAGATCATGCGAAGCGATTCAACACACCACTTGATAGTTGCAAAGGGATGGATAAGAGTAGGCATCTAATACCATGTACAGCCAGGCTTAAAACTGTAAGAACGTGCCTGCATTTTTGCATCAAGGAGAATGTTGGCTGGCTTGATGTCGCGATGCACAATGCCGAAGTCATGAAGATATTGCAACCCCTTTGCCACTCCAATCAGAACATCAAGCTTTTGACAAAGGGAAAGAGGGTGGAGGACACCAGGACCGATCCAGTTCTCGAGGTCGTTGTTGGGCATGAACTCGTAAATGAGAATCTGCTCCATGAGTCGTGTGGAGGGGTCGAAGTCGATACAATAGCCCAACAGACGCACGAGATGCGGATGGTGCTTGCTTGCCATCTCTTTCACCTGAGGTGGAAAAAAGTTAACAAATCAACAGAGATGGAATCATTGGACCACCACTTATGAGCTGGCAAGAAAAACCAACCAGAAAAATGGCGCTAACATATCAACATAGACTCACTCATATCAACATATTAGAACCTCACACCATGATACCTCTCTTTGGAAGTCGTTGGTGAGCACTCGAGCTCGTTTGACTGCCCAGGCTTGATTGCAATCGTCAGGAGACACACCCTTATAGACATCCCCAAAGCTGCCACTTCCTATCCTGTTCCGCTCTGCCCAATCTCCTGTGGCCCTGGCCAGCTCTGCCAGAGAGTACTCTCGACACACATATGGCCGTGCTGCCTCCATCTCCACCACAACACCATCACCCTGCTTCCTTGGTGCTGCTGCTAATGGTAGCACTGCAGCGGCAGCTGCTGCAGCTGCTACGGCCTCCCCTTCTGCTGCTGCTGGATCCTCATCCTCATCCTTTGGTCCTGCAAAGGTATGTGAAGGTTGGTGGAAGAGGAAGAGAAGATCAAGTAGCCACTCACTAAGTAGAGAAGGGCCCTGGGATCCCCAACCACCTACTTTTGTTTGCTAATGGCACAGGAAGGACCAGCAAGCACCATGTTGTCATTCAACGAATACTGGCGGAGGTTAAGATCACTTTAGTCACATCCACGGTGATGTATTTCGCCAGCCATTTACACTGCCATCTCGACGCCATACCCATGTGGCTGTGTGATATGTCATGGCAATGAAGCCCGACCCAGAAATGTGCCTGAATGCTCATCTTTACCCTTAGACCAGAACTGCAAGATCGCCCAGATGCGATATTCCAAACTTGGAACTACACAATTCACTCACCAGTTCAACTAGGACCAATTTTCTTTGACCTCGAGCTTGTTCACATCCGAGTAGAAAGATGAAACCATATGGTTTTGTCATTTCCTCATGCCTCTACTATGTTGGAATATACGCGTCTGGCGTACCAGACGCATTTGTACTATACGCCCAAGTACATACGTTGTACGTTGGATTTCATGCCTTAGGATACGCTCAAAATACGGTGGCCCGGGTAGGGTAGAAAAGTTCTATGCAATATAGGCACTATGTTGGAAAGAACGCTTCGGCCATTTTTCGTATCACGTTTATACGGGGACAAACACACTGTATGCCTGGACGGGCAGCTCGTCAGAAAAAAAAAAGTATGTTGCGATCGTTCTTGCGATCTGCAATTCTCCGTAACCTAATTTTGACATTTGAAAGTCAAATGCCGTCCCTCGTACCCAACCCCCCCTTCCTTCGCACATAACCTCACACCACCTCCCAAACCCAACCCTTCCCTTCCAACCACACTTCGGCTTTCACGTCGGCGTGTGTCCGTACAAAAGCAAGGGGTGTCTTACACCTTTCTACATATTCGTAACCTGTAGTTCAGCTTCGGAAAGCTATGTCGACCACTAATGTCGCAGCTGGACGCAAGTAGCAAGAGGGGCGCAGATCTGGCATTCCGCCGCCAGATCTGCACAAATCTAGTATTTTGCCAGCAGATCGGTGCAGATCGGCAAGAAACATTGAATATAGAGACCATCACTCTCTCCCTGATACCTTTTTCCCCTGGAAACTAAAGAGATTGCCATGAACAAAAGGAATGCCTGAAATCTGGGAGGACCTGGGCTGGTCCATGGCGAGAAAGAGTCCATGAAGTTGTTGCTTTTACACATAGATTTGTTTGTGATGTTTTTGGTTTTGATGGTACTCAATTTTTGATACGATAGCCTGGTGTTTGCCTTGTACTTGCTTCATTTAAGCTAAACGCCTACAGAAACATCTTACCTCGAAACAAAATATTATTCGCTGATTTCTTGCCATCCACATTGGTGCTGGTATTGTCTCCTCCCGCTGCCCCTTTGGTGCGGTATCGCTTCCACAGCAGCCAGGTAAGCAGCAGCAGCACGAGGACAGCCACAATGCCAGCAGCGGCAATGCCAGCAATGGCTCCCTTGGATAAACCGCCTCCTGACTGGGAGGGAGAGGCTGTAGGCTCACTGGAAGTTGAAGTGGGAGGAGGTGGAGAGGGGTTTGGCACTGGTGGCGGGGAGGTTCTTGGCACTGGCGATGGGGAGGGTGTTGGCACTGGCGATGGGGAGGGTGTTGGCACTGGCGATGGGGAGGGTGTTGGCACTGGCGATGGCGAGGGTACAATTATGGGGTAGAAAGACAGAGATAGGGAAGGTAAAAGGCGATCAAACATGGGGATGACGTTAGGCTTGGTGAAAGTGAATGTGGCTTCAGGCACAATTTGAATGGGGAGAGGAAGCAACGGAAGACACCGAAGGGCTGAAACAATATTCTTCAGTAGAGGCCATAAGGAGGCATGCAACAAAAGCAAATGGTGATGAGTAGCTGAGATGTGGTTGTTACTGTGCTCGATACTGGAAAAGCTAGCTAAGTAGGTGGCTATGCACTGTTCATCCACTCAGCACTAGTTAGAGCTAAGTAAAAATGGGCAGTACAAAACAGCAGTCACGTGCATAAGGAGCATCTCACCTGGTGCTGCCTTGTCACATGTGGTGCAGAAGGAGCCACACCGCTGGCAAAACGTACTTGATTTGGTCTGCGGGACCACGCAGCTGATGTAGTCAGGAGGGCAAGTGATTGCCATGAAAGATATGTCCCTGCGTGTGCACATGGAGCATTCTCAAACTTTGAAATGCTCTGACACGGGTTTTCAGCTAGCTCTAGGTGAAACGTAGAGATGTATTACTATACATTGCATTACTATACCATGCCAAGATCCTTTACAGGCTGAAAATACTGAAAAACCGTATTGCCAGCCATTGAAAATGTCGTGATGTGGAAGAATGGGCCGGGCCAGTCCAAGTTCGACCCTTGTGTACCTCCTACCTCTGTTTGCAAACAAACGTGGGATAGGCCACACCAGTAGAACAGCGTGGTATCTTGTATACATTTCAAGCTAGCTATGGTAGACATTGCAACACCTGAACATGCTAAAATGTCTTACATGTTTGAAAGAAGACTTAGATTGCCTATTGTTGGAGGAAGTTGGCCAGTCAGGTTGTTATGGCTGACATCACTGCAATGGATGGAAGTGACAAAGAATAGATGGAACAAACATGTCAAAAAATTGCTAACATGATGTCTGATGGTGCATACATGCAAGAGGAAGCCGAATAGTATTGCACTTATGTAAGAGTTGGGTGGTGAAGAGGAAGGAATGCAGTGTTCGGCAGCGGCAGCAGGCAGGAGGGTGTGGTAATTGTCAACGGGAGTTGTGTGTTGGCCTCGTCCTCGCTTGGGAGGAGCCGACTTCGTTGTTGGGTGTGCGGGAGCGCAGTCGACCTGCTGCAGTGCGGGACGCCGTCCTAGGCGTCTGGACAGCGCCCTGGGCGCCTGGACGCCGACCTGGGCGTCTGGACGGCGTCCTAGGCACCTGGACGTCGACCTGGTTGCCCGTTCGACGCAGTTACCCCCGCGACGGGCGCTACGAGGTGCGAGCACCTATGAAGCAGGTGCATTGCTGTCTTGCGGGTGCAACGCTGTGCAGCCGCCTTGCTGCAGCGTTGTCACGCCACCGACTTGCAGCGTTGGCAGGCCGCGACTTTGCACTGCTGGAGCGCGGTCGACCTTGCAGTGCTGGAACGCGGTCGACCGTGCTGCGCTGGCAGTCGGCCTGCATGCTTGCTTTGCATTGTGTACCTTTGTTTTCAATCTTTGCTAGTGAAACTCTTGCCAATTCTTCCCGTGAGTGTGTACGTAGAGAGAACACCAGCAAACACTAAGGAACGCAAAGATCACCCACACAACCGTGCCTATCCCGTAAACTAGCTCCCATTGTATGAGTTATCTCTGCAGCAATAACATTTGGATGGATGTTGCTATGCATGCGTGTTTGTTTCCCCATGTGTGCAGGTTTGCCCCACGGAGCCAACTGGATCTGTACAGTGATAGCTCGAGGCAAGTTGCTAGTGGCAGGAATGGTTGGAAAGAAGAATCATGGCTGTAACCTGCTCGTAGGGAGTCATAGCTGCCTGCGTACAGATTATTGAATGACGGGACAGGCAGTCGGAGGCGGCAATGCTGGTAGAATATGTGGATTCCTGGCGTGCATCCCTCATTGCTCGTATGTTTCCTTTTAACACGAGAAAACTTGTTGTGGAGTAGAGCAAGCAGTGATTCTAAGGAGATATGTCAAGCTACCGGAGAGGGAACGATTCTCAATAGAGACAGTAAGAATGCAGGGAGAGGGTGGGCAGGAGAGGCAGTAAGAAGGTAACACAGGGAAGAGAGGAGTACACGGGAGAGATCAAGAGAAGCGAAAGAGCGAGTGACACAGAGGCAAATGAGGTGATGAAACAGGAAGGCAAGAGACTTGGACAGAAGAGAGCAAGGAAACAAGAGAGACAGACGGAGGTGGGGTGAGTTTTCAACATTGACGTTGAGAAGGAAATTCTGTAAGCCAGCAGCTTTGGCAAGAAAAAAAATATTTTGATGAAACGTCACGGTCAAGGTTAGCTTAGGGTTGGCCAAGCATGAGGGTGGAAACATGTTTGGGTTGGGTATGAGGGAACTAACGTCCAATTTCTGAGCCTGTGCGAGGTCATCTG